CTACTAGGTTTCACTGCTATCACTGCGGCTGATAGTTCTAGTCCAGGAATATACATTTGTTTTATCGGCGCCAATTTAGACTTTCCAGTAACAAATGTGCAATGAATTTCGCCATCCTCATTCAAAGCTCTGATGAACGATACAGCTCCGTAAGCCACCTGTGACGCATCATAAAAATGATGTAACTCCAGCTTCACATTGCAACCAAAGTTCACTGGCAAAATACATCGATCTACCTTCAGTTCCTGAAGTTTTGGCAGTTCCTGTAACCATTTTAGCCAAGAATGTTTATTCCTCGCCTCCATGTCATCATCCCAGCCTTTATTCATCTTAGATTCACAAAAATCCACAATTTATTTCAAGTTCTTTTATCTCCTGAGTTCTTTCTACGACAAGAATACTTTCTATAACAGATACGTTATTCGAGACCCCTTTTGTAAGACGTAATCCTTCAAGGGAAATAAGTTGCCGCAATTCACTCACCTATTTCATAGCAGTTTCTTCATTGCTCACAGATTTCAAGCAGTCATCAACGTAAAAGTTCTTCTGTACAATATCTACCGTTTCAGCATCAAACGCAGTAACGCTATCCTCCACGGTGCCTTTTTTAGGCAAACGTTTTGCGCACCCGGGGCTCCATACCCTACCGAATGGATGTAAGGTTATGCGATATGTGATTGGTTCCTGTGCAATATCTCCATCATTCCACCACAGGAATCTCAATACATTACGGTCCTTAGGAGTTACTTTCACTTGGCAGAACATAGCTTTAATGTCAGCTATTAATGCTATAGGACCTTCACAGAATCTTAACAACACTCTAAGTAACTTGTTTGTCATATCAGGTCCCTCAGAAACATTCTTGTTTAGCGATGTACCCTTGTACTCTGCTGCGCAATCAAAGAAAATGCGTAATTTGTCTGGCTTATTCGGATTTACAACTGCATGGGTGGTAAGTACCAAGTTTTTCGTGTATCGCTTTCCATACAATCATCTTCGACAATCTCAGCGAATCACTGACTTACAAGCTTATCAATTTCTGGCTGATATTTACAATGCAGCTTTGGGTCCTTCACAAATTTCTTCTGCAAATACTGAAGCCTTTTCAAAGCTAAATCCTTGTATCCGACTTAAACGGAATATACAACTGATAGTGTCCTTCAGATTGTGTGCACGAATCATTCCAAATATCCAGAACTCATTTGTCGTCCACAGAGTGTTGTGGCGTACTCCCAGCCAACACATGACCAATATCTATACACCAGAACCGTTCAAGCTGTGTTTCAATGTTGATATCTACTCCAGAGTTAACATGTACAAAATGCGAGTTTCCTGCAACATGTAACTCATCACATACTCCTCCCAATGGACAATAAATAGTCCAGCCTAATGCTGTTTTAACTGCGTACGGCTCATAATTCCTTCCTTGACGGATTTTCAAAGGCAGAAGAGATCTTGACCAATCAGCATTGTTACATTTTGGCTGTGCGGAACTATAACGTCTTTCATGTGAGTTCATGATTGTACATCCGCTGATGATGCAATACTTCCGTTCAAAGTAAGGTATTCTGTTAAAGCATGAACTCTCGGTAGATCAATAAGCTTGTGGTTCTTTCTTTTGCCGACCGTACTTTCGAGCGATGTTTGTTCGACTACAGATTCCTTACCGTCATTCAGCGTTTTCAGATTCAAAGTAGTGTGTTTACCCTTCAAACCATGTTGTTTATTCAATTCAACTGAGCAGAATGTCTTACTGCTTCCTGGGTCCAACAATGCATTTGTCCGAATAAATTCAGTCTGACCTTTACCACGCACCATTACGGTCACCATAGGCAGGGAAACTTTCGAAGTCTCAGCATGTGCATCTCCACAGGCCCCTGAACTGTGTGTTTCCACTTTGTTTACAAGTTCTGAAGGATCCGATACACCAACACCTTTTTGGAGTGTTAATGTGTTACAGTTCGTATTTTGTCGTAATGCAGAATGTAACAACTTTGAATGTTTCTGCTTACAATTGTCAATGCCATAAAATATTGGAAATTTTGCATTTTTGAGCTGCGTGGTTTCTGAATGTTAAGCTGTTGTAGCACAGTTTATGTTCGTTGACTACTTTGAGTCATTGAGACGGTTTCATCCAAGAAATTTCTTACAGCTACTCATTGAATGTGTTCCGCCGCAAAGAAAACACTTGATATTTTTCTGTTAGTGTGTTAGTACTACTTTGCTGTTGCTTGTCAGAATTTTCAGCGGTGTATACAATAAAGCTAGCAACATCATCTTGTCTGAATTAGATTTAGTATTTGTTCTTTTTTCCTTGTCTCCAATAGCAACAGCTGAAGCTCCAAATACAGGATCTAACACTTCCTTGGTAACAGTTTCCAAAAATGACACAAACACTGTTATATTGGGATATTTCCAAGTTTTGTTGAAAACCTGCAAAGCGTCCTTGCGCCATCTTGATTGGATGTAAAGCTGTAACCTACTTATGATCCTTACCATCCGTGTACGCGAGGCTACTTCCTCAAGCATATCCATTGCCTTCAGGGCTTCCAAACATGCTCTTACATCATCTGCTAAATCACGCAAAGCTTGACCATCATTCGACTTTATGGGTTGCCCATCGGTGAGCCTCTTCACCCATACCTCAGAAATCATATAATTATTTCCGTTCTTTCATTAATGCTCTGGCACGCGCATATCCTTCTGTAGCATCCATTTTTACGCACAGTTTAACAACCTGAGCAGCCTTGCCAGTACAATATTGTAACAATCTGTTTAATTTCACACCATCACTCAACGAGGACTGTCCAACTGCACTATCAAAAGCGTTCATAAACATTCAATAATCCATGGGATTTCCATCGAAAGTCATTAGAAATGTTTTGGGAATATTAATTATGTCTAATAATTGTCTTTGCACTGAGAGTTCTGACTGAACAGGTTTTGAAATACTAGCTGGAGTCAAAGTGTAGCCTGACATATTTGGTTGCCATGTGTTAACTTGCATAGTGGGTTGTCCGGAATAATAATGTGCGCTCTGTGACCTTGTCCATTCCGTAGCGTATGGATTAAGTGTTGACCCTTCAATTTCTGAGAAATTTGCCTGAAGGGCTTCAGATTCTATTTCAGGAATCTGAGTATTTGCAGTCGGTTCGTTGATTTTCCTTAACGGAGTATAAATATTATTGTCATGATCCTCAGCATCTGTAGCCTCAATTTCTGCATTCAATTTCAAAAGCTTTAATTCCTGTTCCATTTCAAACTGTCTCTGTTTAATACCGATTTGCTGTTTCAAATATATAGCCTTGGTTTTTTAACATAGCCTTTCTAGCTGCCTCCTTAGCTAATGCACTTGATGTAGACGACGTGGTAGAACTGCGGGAAACATGCGAAACACTGTCTTCAGGATGTACATGAAAATCAGTTGGTTGTTTCTGAACATAATTGTCATATCTATTTCAGCAGTGTGCACCTCATCTGTGACCCTTTCAGAGTGGTCAGTACTGTGCGCGAGCTTTGAATCTTCAATACCATGAGCTAATTTTACAAATTCCTGATGAGCAGCTTCAAACCTATTGTACATCCCAAACATATTATCGAGGCACCGACTAATGTTTTCATGCTCAGCATTTTGATCTATTAATTCATGCAGTTCCTTCAACACCTTAGTAACGGCACCCGCGAGACCTCCACGAGTATGATAGGGTTTCAATTACTGTTCTCGTTTATAACTCTGGGGCTCATAATTCATTTTACTGGGAAGTGTATCCTTATCACTGGCCTGACTGGGCTCAACACTAGTGTTTTGCGATTTAAAATCCTCGTCATAAGAGCTAAGCACTTCATGTTTATTACAAGTATACATGTACAGTAGACTAACAAGTAACAATACAAAGCACGTGGTATAGAGTATTCTACATACGTATTGTTTTAACAGCTTGTTCGCTAAGCCTGACTGTACTTGTAAATTACTTACAATTATTTCCATACATCTCAGCCCTCAGGTACAAATATCCTGAGTATACGTAGAAAACACAGTGTATAGCTTGGCCATAAATGGCTCATTACCAACACAGTCATTCTTGCTATTTCGTATTGTCCGCCATCTTCTTCCCATACTACCCAGAATCCCTTGCTCGCTAAACAAAAAGAGGGTGATAATTCGTACATCTTGTAACCGTTTTACAATGGTGGGTACATCCTGTAACCGTTTTACAATAGTGGGTACATATTATAACCGTTCCCCAGTACCTTAAATATCTTCATTTTCATTAACACGCATGGCTACATATTCTAGATTTGTGTGCTGCGGAGTGGAAACGTACTCGCCTTGTAAAATCACATGACGACCAAAGTTCAATTCCCTGATCGAACGTGGAAAGGTATGGCATAACCTTCATACCTTGGTCACAGATATACCATTTTATAAGATTTATGACTTTAAATTAATGTATAAATATTTCAACTATCAACACCTTGTATACAATTCCTAGATATGAAATGACAACTTCATATTAAGTTGAAAGTCTGCACACTATGCACGTAATCTAGCACACCGGTAACGGTACACTTTTGCATGGTAATGCGAAACATTAATCTTTCTTTATAACTTCTGTGGCAACTACCACACACGCTAAAAATGATAAAATACAATATCCTATTGTAAAGTCTTTTAATCATCACGTGATTAATCAAACGCATTCCAACGTTTATTGTATTCCAATTTAGGCTTAAAGCCTTTATAAGAAAAGCCAATTTATAAACTTGCGAATTCCACTGACATCACCAGTCAAGTAGTAACTGACGCTTTGATGGAAATTGAACATATTGTTCTAAATTGTAACAGGTGATTGGAATTATTGCGGAAATCTATTATGTAAGCAATTTTGCTATATATAATTAAAATAAAATTAGATGTGTCATAAGGTTGCCGCTATATAAAAATGAACAGTGAAAGTAAGGTAAACGTTCATTATCCATCCGGATACTATAATCTGATACTAAATAATGTCCAGTCTCTCACAGACATATGTTTGTGAATAATCACAGGCATCATCACCAAGGTTTCTGTATTCAATGCTACCACAATCAGCGGAGAAGGAGACGCATGGCATGCAGACGTCATTTAATGTTACTCCGTCCCAGAAGGTTCGGTCGACCGTCTCCCCGTTCAGCCATACCCAGGTGCCTTCGTTGGCTGAGTCTGTGATACCAATCCACATTCGCTCATTTTCATACCCGTTAGAATCTGTAAATCCAAATAAGTAGTGTCAAGTTCAACAATTAGAACAAGATTATCAACAACGGAATCATCAGCTATACTAATGAGCATCAAACATGCCCAACTTGTTATATTCTTCTAATATTTCCCAATCAGATCATCATTAAAACCATTAAACTTCCCCATAATCTCTATCAACCTAAAGTGTGTATTACATTACCCGGTTTTTAGATCTATATCCTTCTGGATTTCAATTTCATTTCATTAGCTTGATTTTATAGAGGCAACGATTTCCTAACCACTTTTCTTTATATAAATAACACACGGTTAATATCTAACTCGGTGGTCAACATCTCACATAGTTAATATCTATCTCGGTAGTAAACATCTCACGTGGTCAATATCTATATCGCTGGTCAACATCTCACATGGTCAATATATATTTCGGTGGTCAACATCTCACGCGGTCAATATATATTACGGTGGTCAACATCTCACGTGGTCAATACTTATTTCCAAGGTTAACATCACACATGGTCAATATTTATCTTGATGATCTATATCCTACACGATCAATATTTATCTTGGCGGACAACATTTTACTCTTTTGCATTATATGGAACTTTTCATGACTTTATGATATTTTCTGTATACAATACACAAGATCAACGTTTCTTTGACATCGTTAGTCTGAGGAATAATTATATTCGAGAAATTGTTTTCCATTTGACAAACATTCACATTTACAAAATAGAATAAAACCTATATTAAAGCTCGGCAGTGAATGTTGTCCTTTTATCATTTTAGTTCGTAGAATGATGGACTTACAGAAATACAAGCCATCAAAGGGTCTGATGTGAACAGCATATGATATAATACAATATAAGTCTCGCATCACGTAACTTAAAATTAATTTATCATTGTCACGTGTAATCGATGATTGTGAACAGTGCTAGATGTGTCCGGTATATAGGTTAATACATGTAAAAGTGAAGCGAGAGTTAAAGGCACGTGACTACATATGATTCATATATAATTTCGGCGTCAAGAGTTGTAATGGAAAAGTGAAATGCGAGCAAAGATCATTCGAGTCATCACGGTCCAAATTATTTTTCTACCGAATTTGATATTTAGAATAAATACCATATACTTATATACGTATATACGTAATGAACTCAATTCCGATGAGACAACACGAAGAGAAGTTGTGCCGTTTCCTCGCGTTATTGCGCCAGCCATATTAAAAATATCATTTCAAGAATGAAAAGCAGGTGGACCGTCGAAAGCCACGCCCATGCATCCATGTTGAGTTTATATGATACATGATTTATGCTCGTTTGATTGTAGTGAAAAGGACCATCAAAACCGTCAACTTATTGTCATATTTCTCATTCAAAAGAGATATGTCTGTCAACAGTAGGAGAAGGAAAACAGGTGCCATGAAAAGGCTAAAGTAACTGTCTATACGGTAATATCATTCACATATATTATTGTTATACAGATATACCTCGATAAACTGGGACAGGACTTACTTTATGTCTATCTGAACACATGACATACCTAGATAGTCAGAAAATGCATCTAATTTTTCTTTTGTGTCAATGACGAGGAGTCGACCATAACTTTTTTCGCAACGGCTCTTGGCTTCGTCCCAATCAACGGAGTCGGTAAATACTTTCACACAGATGTGTCCCTCGTGTATGAAATCATATCCAGCCCGGGAACAACCTTCAAAAAGAAAACCAGACATCAGTAAGAAGATCAATTAAAGAATAAATGGTGTTATCAAACTCACTTTTGAATCCAGGTGTCATCCCCAGTCGAGCGGTATGATACAAGGCAGTAAAAGTTCAGATCTAAATGGTGTTATGTTTCAGGCTATGCCAAGGAAACATCAAAACGGTTAGAAGGTGGGCAGTGAGGCAAAGCAGTTGTCCTGTAATTTTAAGAGATTAATCAGTTCTATACAACACTTCAATCTTTTTCCGATAAGCTCCAGGAAAGCTTTGTCCCCAGAAAATTCAGAACCGTAGTATACACAACCGGAGTCGGGATGAACGTCATAATAGAATGTGTTGAGGAGGCAAACACGAGAAAGTAACACGATAAATAAAAACTACTAACTTTGGTTGTTTTTGTAGATTTTAGTAAACCCAAAACCAGTGAAAGGAATCCCTCCGATGGAATTTTGTAATTGGCTGTATCCTTGGCACGTACCAGTGACATCATTGAATCCAAATACCAAACAATCTATAACGGACGAACAGAGGGATGCACAGTCAAGCGGACGATTGGCTTGTGTTGTAAATACGACAGTTCCTGCCGTTGTTTGTCCAGGAACGTTGAAATCATTCCACCAATACTCGGACACAGAGGTACACAACACACAGCCTGTGGGTACACATATATAAAAGAAATATAGAAATAACCGTAAAGTTTCCTACAGCACAGTGGATAAACCAAGTTAATTAGATATATAATATGCCAAATGCATGTTATTTTCAATATATATGGTTTTGAATTACGCTAACACGTATTGCGTGAAAACATACATCTAAAACACGATGTTTTACCATGCTATTGGCATCCCCTCTCTTGGCTGATTTCTTGTTTTTATGCAACGCTGACTTTATTGAAGAGATTATCCAAACAGGTCACCGAGACATTGCCAAGTCCTTTAATTTCGCATATCGGTGATATATTTTATCTAAATAATACGAGATTATTTATCACGTCCATCGAACATGTATATACCCATCAGACATCGAACAGGCATATACCCATCAGACATCGAACATGTATATACCCATCAGACATCGAACATGCATATACCCATCAGACATCGAACATGTGTATACCCATCAGACATCGAACATGTATATACCCATCAGACATCGAACATGTATATACCCATCAGACATCGAACATGCATATACCCATCAGACATCGAACATGTGTATACCCATCAGACATCGAACATGTATATACCCATCAGACATCGAACATGTATATACCCATCAGACATCGAACATGTATATACCCATCAGACATCGAACATGTATATACCCATCAGACATCGAACATGTATATACCCATCAGACATCGAACATGTATATACCCATCAGAATTTGAAATAACAAAGATCCGATATTTTCTTCCTTATTTTACAAAATTTACGTTTCAACCCTTTATGTTAACACATCGTATTTAATTAGATTTCTCTTCGAAAACAGAAGGTGTCTGCAGTTTAACAGATTACCGATTATTACCTTGACATTTGGAGTCCAAAATAATTAATCATTTTGTATAATTCTAAATATGGATTCCCATGACTGCCAACCTGGGTCTCAACAAATATAATTGTTTAGGATGTCATTTCCTTTATTCTGATGACATTTGGGTACTGTATAAAGCAACCTCAATGTTTTTTCTTTTTTTTTTTTTGTTAATCCTCAGTATAGGATCCATCTAACGGCGTAAAATCAACACCATAAACTTAGTCACATGTTTAGGATAGTAAGTCTAGATACCCATCTAAGTATATAAGTATTAGTATTAAATATCTAAATGCGTTCCTGGAAAAAATACATACAGTGTCTAACTTTTTTGGAATCAACGAATTTTTGAGTAGCGTTACGCTGCTTACCTGTCATGTTTTGGAAACTGGTATTTGAGCAAAATTATCAATATCGAAAAGAATATGTTCACTGTTGGATACCTCTCTCTTCTACTCTCACGCGCCATGCAGCTTAGTATAATGACCATTATTGACAGTGTATTTATGGTGTCCTCCTCGGAGAAGTAAAGAACATTCCAGTAGAAAAACATTTTTCTTATGATGATTTTTAAAACAACTAACTTAAGAAAGTGGGTTTAAACGCAAACGAACAATGTGTGCCGTACATTTTTATTTTCACATATTGTTCTTATTTTTTATTCAAGAAAAACAGACATTCCCTGTTTATTGCGTGGAACCAGCTTTAATTTTTTCTTCTTTCATTAGAAGGTAAGGATATAATATTTGGATATCAAGAAAAATTAAAAACAAACTTTTCATCTAATTTCACGATCTGTAATCTGCAGAGCAACGAAAAAATGTTTTAGAATTAACTAAATCCGATATATGACCATCTTTTAGTATTTTCGAGGATATTTTTCATGATTGACAAAATGGGGTCATTGTGCTTTAATTTTGCAATTTTCACTCAAATAGTCGGTTTTCGAACATCAAGAAACAAGCTCAGATATTTATTTTCCGGTTCTAATTATCCGGGAATGTGGTCCACCAAGTCGTAATTCAAAAATTGACATTGTTGTTTGTGGTGATAACTCAGGAACCAGGAAAACGTTAATATTGTTGACGATATTAACCGAATAGCATTGTCGACTACACCATCAAAAAGTAGTCCACAAACACAATTTACAAAAAATTCGCCTTTTTAAATAGATAAGTACAACTATAGATAACATTGTAAGAACACAAAAGTCCCAGAAAATATGTTGGAATTCATTTTATGTAATTTTTTATTTACCTCCTGTCAAGCATCAAAGGAATTCATCTTTTACTCGATGTGTTCCGTAGTAAAAAGTTGAGACGAATAAATTTGTTGATTCTTCAGTGTTGTAGTGAACATATCTGTGACGATGTGTTCATGTATGTCTGTAATATATAACTTTTTTCAACTTGTGTATTGGCAAGGCCATGTTCTGTATTCAAATAATAAACAATTGTTGGTATAATATTTCTGCTTGTAATTACAAACTAATGTTAACATTTTGCTCTGTGGTCACCCATTATGTCTATATTAATCTGGACTGCATTCACAGTATTGTAGATGCAGTTCAGAGAGTGCGCATTAATATGTTTTCTGTGGTAGGCTAGACACAGTATGTTCATGAGCTCCCATAAATCTGAAAGTTCGCTTCGGTCCAATAACCGCACAGTTTGGACAACACAGAAAAAGTCACACAGTGCATCGTTGTCTACCCTGACACTTCCAGTTACCGATCACACAGCGAGAGTTTCACGATCCCCAGTTACCGATCACGCAGCGACAGTTTCGAGATCCCCACAAGCAGTTTCCTCACAAACCGTAGCATGTGTTTAATCGGAGTCCCTTTCTGCAAGCGATAATCCTCTTCCTTTAAACTCACTCAGACAAAACATGAATGTAAATGTCCAAACCAATACGGCTACACCAAGTTTCTTCGCCGGCTCATCATTTTCAGGCTCTTCGTTCACGTTTAACTCGAACTGACGTGACGCCGCCAATTTTTCTGAATGAATGGACCGGCACGGTAGGCCTACGGTTTACACCTGCGTAGTGAAATTTGAATTCTCTGGATTTAAGTACTGATATTAAATAGTAATTATTGAAAGTGTTAAACATATTCATTTCGTCAGCTAATAAAGTTTCAAACTTTATTGTTTTATCAATCTGTCATTGTTTTACTGTTGTTTTTCCACGCACTTTTTTTTGTCGTCGTCAATATGGCTGTTCCATCAACATCGCAACAACTAACGATTGAGCGGTAAATTTGAAAAAAAATGACAAAAATGTAAATATAACCATTGAACGTCTGTCAAATTGCATTTATTGTCAATATGAATGCAATCTGGGTGCCAATAAATGCAATCTGACAGACGTTCAATGGTTAATTACATACTGTTGTCATGTTTATAAAGATTCATAATATAGCAATATTTAACACAGAAACTGATATTGAAAAAAAATATATTGAGGTCCATATGAAAACAAATACGATACTTTATGATATAATATATACTATAATGTGTTATGTATTGCGCATTTTACAACTGGCATTATACTAATGGTAATTGTTTGACTACACATTATATAATGATAGGTAGAGATTATTGTATGACCATTTTGGTATCACATCCCTTATCAACCCAAGAGTTCTGATGATATCAACTTATGGAAATTTTAGACTTATCACACATACAATCAAAGTACTGAAAGTACTGAAAGGCTAAACGTATTGAAAAATGTTCACAGATAACCACAAAGCTATATTACTTTCCCCATACTCCTACACTTTGGAACGCAAACAAATTACTAAAATAAGAGAACCAGAGTCTATTTTTCTTAATTTTAAGCGATTTTATATCTTCTTTAATTCTTATTTCAAATTTGACGACAATAATGTGAACAAATCAAAATAGGTAAAAAAAAAATATAACAAAATACACACAACCATATATCTATCGCCAACAAGCCAAAAGATAAATAGCTCTATGATGAAGTTGACTAAATAAAACCTTTGAAATACCCAAGATGTTGCAATTACTATCCTATTAATATGAGGATTTAGACAAATCGAAAGGACTTTATACCTACTTCTTTCTTTTGAATGTATTGCAAAGTAATAGTCTTTACTTTTTTATAATTATATTTGTAGTTGCGGAAAGTAGATAAGGTGTGCACAGCATTTCAGATCGATTAAAGTGTAAGTAATTACATTAAATGTATTTACATGCCTATCTGGTTAGATTTTTCTTCCAGTAATCATGTCTATAAAGACATAGTTCTTTGAGATTAAACCAGACTTCCATATATATACAAAATTTACAATATTTTCACTATAGCTACTACTATTTCTGATCTCCAATGCATTAGATAATGTCACCATGACACGCTAAATGAATAAATACGTTATGGAAATACTTCGTTCTAGTTAATTGATAAATACAAACATGAATAAACATTTTTTTTTAATACGCGCTTTGTTTGAAGAAATATTTTCTTTTCAAGGAACTTTGATACACATTAACAAACCTTGAAAAATCAGCACAATCAACCTTCATCAAATAAAAATAAAAGACAAAAAATATCAGTTATAACAGAGTCAACATCATGATCAGTACAGTATTAAAAATATATTATTTATAAATCATGAGCACCAAATGTACCTTGCCTACGAAGTGCAAACTTTTTATCTTCAACAATTTGAAAGAGTGTCATGGCGGTGGGTGTGAAAAACCTGAAAAAGTGTCATATCGGCGGGTGTGCACGTGGGATTAACAGTCCAATTCGATGGCGTCTAATGAGGTAAAGTGATGTTATATATTAAGACGATCCTGCCACAACGACAAGGATTAAAATAAAATTGATGTTCTGTTTGTAAGTTTTGTTTGTTTATAAGTGCTGTTAGTTGATAATTCAAACCAAGCCCCCACACTAGCTTCTTATCAACTCGAACGTGCAGTGTTCTGTACGCTTACGTCTTGTCGAGAATACCGTAAAATATATTGTTCAAAATTTATCAATAGTTCAACCACACTGTGCTTCTTTTTGAAATATATAGTAATCGTGTTGTTGTTTAAAATATAAACTAATTTTGGATGCTTTTAAATAGCGATTTGAAAG